AATGCACATTTATCCCAAACTGCCTTAGCAGAGTCTGTGACATTCCGAATTTCGGCCCATTTTTGGGATTTATAAAACGCGTAATTTGTCAGTGTGCTTATAGTAAAATCTCGCCCGGGAACTGATCACTCCCGATGATCATTTTAAATTAGAGATTTCGCTAGAATCGCACTCGATCAAATTTGGCCGTTATTTAGACCCTGAACTTGGCAGTCGATTTTCGGGAGTTTCGGGACGAAATAAATTGGACGGTGTCAATATTATCGTAGCCAGCGTTGAGATTGTCAGGAACAATGGAAAAATAGGAGTTTTTGACCGGGTGCGAATTTGGACTAGTAGACCTCCCTCGCTATAGTTTGATTTAATTAATTCGGCATTTGTCCCTTTTTATATGCGAGGCTTATTTTGGACCGGTAGATCGCTTTCGATTTTGAATTTGGGTCATCGGATTGCATTTAATATTTGAATCGTGACCGTTAAATCGATATTTAGTTTGAACCGTGTCCGTTGATTCGCGCTCGAGGATAAATATTAACTTTTTCTCTCTTTCTCTCTCCTCTCTCCTCTGCCGCGCCGCCCGTCCCCTCCCCCGCGCACGTTTCTCTCTCTCTCTCTCTCTCTCTCTCTCCTTTCTTTTTCTTCTGGCCGCACGTCTCCTCTGCATGAGTCCCGTCCACGCCCACTCCCCAAGCAGACCAACCCCTTTCCCCCCTTCTGACACTCTCTCTCTCTCCTCTCTCCTCTTCCTTTCTCTTCTTCTTTCTCTTCTTCTACTTCTTCTTCTTCCTTTTCGGCCCGACTGTCTTCGTCCGTTCCGGTTCTGCTCGCCGACCGCCGCTCGAGCCCGCCGTCGCGTCGTGCCGCCCTGCCACCGTCGCCCGCAAGCTCCGCCGCCGTCGCGCCCGCTCGACAGCTCGCCCCTGATCGCCCTCGCCGGCTTGCCCGCGAGGTGCGCTGCAGCAGAAGCAGCCGAGCTTGCCGCCGCTACTGCACACCCGGCGCCGCTCAGCCTCGGCGGCTGTCGCCCACCCACCGCCTCCGCCCCGTCGACGCCGCGAGACCAGCCCGCTAACCCCCTCGCTTCTCCCCTCCTGCCTCCTCCTCCCCTCCTCGGGCCCCGCCCGAGCCGAGCGCCCGCCGCCGCTCCGCCGTGTAACTAGCCGACCATCGCCGCGCCGCCGCACGCCGCCGCCACGCCTCGGCCGCCACTGCTGGCCATTGTCGCGCCCGACTAGCCGCCTAGCTCCCGCCGGCCAGCCTGGACCTTGACCAAGCCGCGTGCCCACACCCGCGCCCGTTGCCCACGCCCGTGCCCGTGCCCGCGCCATGCCCGTGCCCGTGCCCGCCGCGCGCCCGTTGCCCGCGCCCGTGCCCGTGCCCGCCGCCGCGCCCGTGCCCGCGCCCGTTGCCCGCGCCGTGCCCGTGCCGCCGCCGCGCCCGTGCCCGTGCCCGCGCCGTGCCCGTGCCCGTGCCGCGCCTTGTGCTCGTGGCCGAGGGCCGTGCCCATGGCCGAGCGCCATGGCCGAGCCCCGCGCCCGTCGCGCCCTTGCCCGTGCCGAGTGAGACACTGTTCACCCGGGCCATTTTAGGCCCGAGCTGATTTTCTCCGGGCCAAAACCAAGTAAGTGACTTCCTAAACCCTACCTAGTACTTTGGGTATTTTTAGACTTGTTTAGGATGTGATTAGTATCGGGTTAGGAATTAATTTAGGCGTGGGCTAATTAGATTGAGGGTGCCCGATTTGTGAATTATTGTGGCGGTAATTGTGTGACTAATTTAGTGATTTACTGAGATAAATATGCCTGACTGAATTGTCGTGGCGCTCGTGGGTGAATTGAAATCAATTGAATGTGTTGACTTGAATGTCGGGTCGGTGGGCCGATGTGGGGAGCATGAATTGAGTTGACTGATGTGGCGTGCTAGATTGACATTGGTGAAAGGGTGGTGATTGAAATTGATTTATATGACTAAGAGCATGGTGAATTTTGTATTGTGGTTGTCTGGACACACTTGGGTGATATTTGAACGTGTGAATGCCATGGAATTGATTGAATTATGTGGCGTGTATGCTTGACAAGCCCGGATCGATCGGAGGGCTGCCAACCTGAGGGGTGTTGACCCGGGTTGTGAGAAAGGACCTGTGGGGTGTTGACCCGGGTCGTGTGAAAGTAAGAAAGGTCCTGTGGGGTGTTGACCCGGGACAGAGCCCGGATTGATCGGAGGGCTGACCTGTGGGGTGTTGACCCGGGTCATGTGAAAGCTTGTTTTTGAAAGGTCCTGTGGGGTGTTGACCCGGGACAGAGCCCGGATTGATCGGAGGGCTGACCTGTGGGGTGTTGACCCGGGTCATGTGAAAGCTTGTTTTTGAAAGGTCCTGTGGGGTGTTGACCCGGGACAGAGCCCGGATTGATCGGAGGGCTGACCTGTGGGGTGTTGACCCGGGTCGTGTGAAAGTTGGATGGATGCGCATGTGAAATGTGTTTGGGTTGAATTGGATGAACGTACGTGTGTATGGCGCTCAAATGATTTTGATGTGTCATTGACTATTATTGCATTATTACGATTTGACTAATGTGCAGTGTGGGCATGTGGTTGGATGGAGAGGTAAGTCCATTTATGTGAATTATATATATGTAATCGGGTAGATTGCATGTACGACTTGTCTGGGTACGCATTGGCCTATGTGGGGTATAGGGGGTTGCTTATTGAGACTCGTTCTCACGGTTATTATATAACCATTTTCAGATCTGCGACCGTGATTGATTGGAGACGACACCAGGGTATCTCGGGGATGGAGGACGGGTCAAGTTACCCCATATTTTGTGTGCCCCTCTTTTGTATAGCGAAGTAGGATACCCCACCACTATTCCCTTTTGATGTTGTGTATTTGGAATTATTGTTTTGTGCTATCCCTTTGTCATATTTTATTGTCTGGGTTGTTTTAATTTCGCTTCCGCTTGCCTTTATCGTTGGGTGTTTCGTTTGGGTCGGCGACGCGTCCTGGGACGTCGCGTTCAATGATTGACCATCGAGGGGTGTCGCGAGCCCGTTGGGGTTCGGGGCGTGACAGAGTCACACCGAATAAAGTGAGGACTGACCTTAGGATCCATGCTATTCCACAATAGAGTCCGAATCATCGCATCTCCTGCAACCCAATCAGCAGCTTTACTCTTATCGGACGGTACCGTAGATGTGAGATAGTCAAGTTGCCTGGTGGCAGTAAGATAGACCTCAACAGCTTTATACCAGGATGGATAATTAGTTCCATCCAACTTAACAGATGTTAATTGAAAATGACCAAAAGGGGATCCTAATCCTGAAGTCGATCCACTGTTCGCCATTAGTGAAAGAAATTGTGTGATTGAGCCCAAAAAATTAACTTCACAGTAACCAGCACTTCAATTCAGTAATCCAATCAAATACACAAGTAATTCCGAACATAAAAGGACTCAATCCAATTGCCACCAGCAAGCTTATTCTCACTGTTTCCTTCGATTCAATGTAATATCGCGCACATAAATACTTAAGTCAGCAGCAAAAAAAATTCCAATGGAAAACGAAGAATACGTCACTTTCAAGGAGAGGAGTAGCAACTTTATCCTCTGTAGGAGCCATAAAATCCAAGCAACAGTAAGCAACAATGATATTTATGGAGAAGACGAGATTTCCTTGCGTATTCAGGTTCAACTTTATCCTCTGTAGGAGTCATAAAATCCAAGCAATAGTAAGCAACAGTGATATTTATGGAGAAGACGAGATTTCCTTGCGTATTCAGGTTCAATCTCGGTCGGACATCGCCGGATTTGAGGTGAGCTAGGTCCAGCGACGTCGGAATGGATTACACAGTGCTAGATCTGGTCACCAAGGTTGAGCGACGGCAACCACAGAGTTAGGCGACGCCGGGAGACTCGAGCGTCGCCAGATTTGAGTCGTTGGGGCTCAACGATGGCTACTCGTGGGTCGCCAGGGGTCGGCGACGGCTCGTCGTGAATCGCCGGGGCTCGGCGATGGCTACGGGTGGGTCGCCGGGGTTTGGCGACGGCTGCTCGTGGGTCGCCAATCGGTGACGGCTGGTCGTGGGTCGCTGAGGCTTGAATCACCAAGGCACGACCAGATCTAGGTTGCTAAAGGTCAGCAACAAGGTTGCTGAGGGTCGGCGACAGAGTCGCCGGAGTTTGGGTGCCGCCACCCGGCGACGGGGGGGCACTTCACCGATGACGGAACAGTAGTTTCCGGCGATCTGGCGGCTAGGTTTGAATAGGTCTTTTTTTATTTTTGTGTATGGGACTCTGATACCATGAACAGAGAGAAAAACAGAATTACTTAATTGTGATTATAGGGTTACAAATATATACGTGCTTAACCCTACTCACAAACTAGATTACTATTCTACCCTTAATATTCACAATATTTCTCAACAATGATAAATCCACAAAATAGTTGCTCCAATTACATGTGAACACTGAAATAGAAAATAGTACGATTAGTCACCAGAGAAACAGGTGGAATCAAATCAATTTTAGCATTATCTCACATCAATAATTTTATCCATAGCTGTCTTTGGGCTAGTCGCCCATGATTATTAGCATTAGTAAACATAAATAATTTAAATGTGTAATAGCATATAATTGCACAGAGCATAAGACTAGGTTATCAGCCATCAGAGAGAGAGAGAGAGAGAGTAAATAGCAAACATTATTACACGTCTTAAACTTTGGAATTGGTACGAAAAACTCATGATGGCTTTTGCAGGAATGAGAGTTACTCAAATACCTTTTAAGGGTCATGAGTAGTACGAACTGCCCTGCTTTGTTTAAAAGATAAACATACAAGATAGTTCATAATTTATACGCTACAAAAGAAAAAGAGTATATACATTGATGGAATAAATGAGACTTCACCGGTAAGATAGGTTGAAAGAAATGCGAAGCAAACATCAAATTTAGTCAACGACAATTCCCCATAATTTATTTGATATTCCGTCAAGATCAAAGCCATACCTCTCTAGGGAAGCGATGGTATGCCTTCTGTTGGAACCCAGAATAGTATGGAGGCAAATGAGACACAATATCATGTCCATCAGCAATATGTATTGCATTTCGCACGCAATCACTGTAGTAAGACACAAACGCTGCATTGCCAATACGATGTTGCCCAAATGTTAAAACCTGAACATTGCGTGCTTCATGACGGACCTGGAAATGAAGTGTCCCCAGTTATACAAGTAAATCAAGCGAATGCTGGTCTGGAAAAAAAAAAAAAAGCTTCAGCACACATAATTGGACAGCCAAATAACTTGAATGTTAATAGATCAATGGCCCTTTCAGGACAAGATAAAAAACACTACGCATCAATAACCATATATCGCATTTCACATACAATGGTGAACGATAGAACAGCCCTTTCTTCCCATGAGAGTTGAAGGTCTGTATCGTTACTCTGTCAAGATCCCTCCTTTTCCCAACTCTAAACCACCCCCCAGCACCCCCAACCACCCCCCCCAAAAAAAAGAAAAAACAGAAAAAAACACCACCCACAACAAAACCAACCCTCAGCCCCAAGATAAGGTGTTATAATATGGAATAGTGGAATTGGGAGTGAATTTACAACCGAGGCGCATTTAAATGCTTCCAGAAGAAGCACTTGGATGTTGGTGAGGGGAGTCACATCCTGCTAATGACATAAACAAAGAATTCCAAGTTCATGGTGAAAATACCCCTTGAACTCCAAAAAACTTACTGCCATAAATAGGGAAGGAGAACTAAATCTTAAAATGGGCCAACACGCATGGGCATGGTGTAACAATAGGCTCAGAACAATTTTCAGCAAGAAGCCAGCAAACAAAATAAAAGTTTAAATTATCCAAGTGTTAGGACAAGATATCATACTTGCTGCGAACACTTAGAGAAAAGGTACAGTCTAAACTCTAAAGTTATTGCAACCTATGAAACTATCACAGGCCACATGAACCTTTGTATAATCTAAGTCCAAGATAAAGTACAACTCTCAAAATCACCATTTTCCATGGATAAGAGAATCAATGGGACATGACTTTGGATGTGTATCATTTCTGGTACCAGTTCCGCAACAGGTGCCCAGAAAAGTACTCTGTGCTGCTCTCTCCAAAAAAGCTGAGACAAAAAGCATAACTTAGACATCTTAGAATTGGCTCCAGCCTACAACATTTCTGGCCCCGTAGTCCGAATGAAGAGCAATTGCTTCTTTGATTAGAGAGAGACAAGGACAGCAACAGCTCATAAAACACAAATTTAGGATCGATATATAATCTGTCATAAAATGCATTAGCAATTCAAGATTACATGACATAAATTTTGAGCTTCAAGTGCTTGAAGAAGTTATATGTCCATATCATAACATACCAACAATCCCATAAATTTTCCAGCGAGTAAACTTTGTAAGGATTAGTTGAAGTCTTTATTCACTATATCTTACATTGGTGGTTCTATAGCTTACATTGAAGCTCTATAGCTTACATTGAAGACTCAATTTGCACGACTAGATACGTCAACAATTGGTGGTTCCAGTAAAGGCCCATTCTGCTCATGTTTTGTCTGTGGGTTGATTTACCAAAAATTAAAGAAAACAAGATGCTGTCTATGACGAATTGTAAATACAAAAATGAGAGCCATAGAAAGTTCAAGATATCCACATAAAGAGTCTAGACTTTTCAAGGCTGATTTGGCAGAGAATTCCAGATAACTCGTAACAGATTAAAAATAATAGTTGGAAGAACACAATCCGAAAAAAAAAAAAACAATAAATTTCACAAGTCCCGATCATGACAGTTTTTTAACTATCTTACCACAAGATCAAGTCCGCATAAGGATGCCATAGGCCCTCCCATAGAATGCCCTGTCACCATGACGTTGATGTCTCCGTATAAATCCTTGGCTCTTATAACAGAATGCAAAATACCAGGTCAAATTGTCATATTGTGATAAGCATAATAAAATCCATGATGAACCTAAGCAAATATCAATAGAGTAAGACTGTAACTCAATCCAAATCAGAAGTATCCATAGGTTGCAAGAGGCTTATCATCTCTAGAACGCACCATGGCACTAGGCATGCCAGGGTAGTTTATGTCGAGCCGTTTCCAGTAGAGATCTTCAACCCAATTCGGTATGATGTAGACATAAATAGAAGTAAGCAATAACTGAAAAGCTCAAACGACAAAGAGAGGTGACAAAATTTTTCATAGAACAAAATTAGTAAAGTATGTGATCTCCTTATGACTCCATCTAAAATTACAAGCACAAAACTTTCGTGTCTCGGTGGAAACAATTCGCCCTTCTCCCTTTTATGGACGGCAGACCCATGCGCCTTGTGTACGCATTCACTGGAGGCTGCTCTTATAAGCATAAACTTTCATCAAATCCTTTGCGTGTCAATTGTTAAGGGGAAGAATTGCTAAAGTTAACATGCATACCTACGTTCTTGAGTACCTCTGAAAGCTAAAACCATAGCATTAAGGTCCTTGGCCACCCCAACATATGCCTACAGGTATGTATGGTTTAGAAATAGAGACAAACAATTAGATGCATTTCAGACATAGAGGCATCACAAGCATCCAAATAGGCCACTGTAACATGAATTATATACCTATAAGCAGTACTGAATGTCAACTATCAGTTCAATGACTTCAAATGCCTGCTTTCGTATAAAAAAGGCATCAATAACCAATTTAGAAGCTCATAAGACAAGGCAGCATATGCCTACAAAATCTCATCTCAAGAATTGGCCATTTAGTACTGAGGATCTATTCTTTGCGCAGCCTTAGCGACATTGTCATATTAAAACATATCAAATTACCTTGGTCTTTCCATCACATCTAGGACACGTCCAACTAAAAAGTTTTGTCAAATCTGACATGTAAAACTGCAAAAAGCACTGCATCTAATTATAATTTTATTGTTTTGAAATGGGGAAACCTGAAGGGTAATAACAACAAGCTCTAGGTAAATGCGAAAATCTTTATAAAGAACACCTATGGCAGATGCATATTCTACCAATATAGTGGCAAGAGTGTGATTGTAAATAGCTTTATGAGCCTGGGACCTCACTCTAAGTTCTGCCTTTACCAGTTGAGAAATTTTCAGATAGAAAATGCGGCCACAAGCTCATTCAATTACAAACAATGAAGCAAGTTTCTTATGTCTCTTACAAGCTATTTTGACAAATCAAGTGGGGGGAGCACTTTAAGAAAACATCAACTCATAACAATATTCAGTATGTTTTTGCAGTCCTTCATGAACAGAAAGAACTATAAATTCAATGCAATGCGATGAAAGGGGAATAAGTAAACAACATATGGCTCCTCTTTCATAAAGCTTACTCCATTGAAACCTACAAGCTCCGGTCCATTACTCGACTAGAGAAAAGCTGAATAGCTGATAGTCAATCACTGTGAGCACTCAACATATTTTATCCCTAGAGTAGAAACAGCAGGATGAGATTTGTATCGAACAAATATAAGGAAATTCAATAAATCTGACCATGTTCTAGGTGTAGCATTGATCCAAACTCAGTAATCTAACGGCTTAACAGAACCAACCAGATACAACTTGATGCTCGTCAGTTATATGCTTTGAAAACATCCAATTGTACAACACAGGAATCACATAGATATAGTTTGCCCCATTCAAACAGGCACTACAGCTACACAACATAGTCCACGATTTCCCCCAACCCTGAAATGCCTAATTCGCCAAATTCACAATACAAATGTCCAAGCTCAAAACCAACGTACTCAATCCTAGAGCCTGTCTATTTGCACCTTATCACAGTCAAAACTCCCATCCGAATTAACTCATAGGATTAGAGCAGCAACTGATGCATGAACGTGAATTGAAATTACCTCTCGCCCCACTTGCGGCAATCAAGCATGTCAGGAAAACCATCACCCTCAACCGCCACCTCTTCCACTCCATACTTTACGAACTTTCCTGATTTGCCCTCGGGATCTTCTTCTGTTGGGGGCCATATTCGGTGTCAGATTTGGTGATTTCGTGGTTTACGTGAGGGCACTGACGGAAGTTTTGCTCAAATCGGGACGTTGAGAAAGGCAGCGCGGCGATTTCTTGTTGTGTTTTAGCCCGAGAGAATGAGACGTGCTTTTTGGACAAATTTGGGGTTCTTATGATGTCTCCACATTAGCACTTTGACTCAGCTTGGTTCAATCAGTTGGTTCAATCTTAGAATTTTGAAAAATACACTAACATTAACGTTGATATTGTTTATCTGTTTCTTGATATTTCTGGAGGTATATGAAAACGCAATTACTCCGTTGTGCTCGCAAGCTTCTCGAGTCAGATATACTCAAATTCAAGGTCAAATAGATCAAATAACCCGAGTTATTTAAAATTGAAAAAAATATGTAATTAGACTTGAGTGACAGGTGAATTGAGCTTAATTGTGAATTCTGGAAGCCACTTCTCTCGAGTTGAGAGAGAGCTCGAAAAGGCGACTTGCTATTATGTATCAATTTGCAAGCACACTTTACATTGAACCGGATTTAAAAGTTTCTATACTGTTTTAGATAGACGTACCAATAGTACAGTGAGTCAAGTCATTTTCTCTAAAATTTACGAACAATTTATAACGTGAACACATTTGGAACTGATCACCATCGTATAAAGTTTATGACATTGTCATCCCATAATTGCACGATTGCCTATACGACTCGTACGGTCACGAAGATTGAATACTTTATGTGTAAAAGAATATGAAATTGGGCCTTTTCAACGGCTATGTGTGAACTCAAAAGAGTTTGTAACCTCAAACAACAAAAGTCATAAATGTACGTTGGGATAAGGACACTAGGAGTGCTATAACTTTCGTACGGCGCTCATTTGAGTGCCATAACTTTTTTTTTCGCTCACTTAAGCGCCACTTCCAGCAAAAAAAGATCACTTGAGTGCTACTTTCAGCAAATCGTTGTACATGGCTTTTTTAATTAAATTTCCATCCGATGTGGATTTTTTAATGTTATTTTATTTTATTTTATTGATTTATTGATTTTTTTGAATTTTTCTTTTTCTTTATCTTTTTTATTTATCGTTTTCTTTCTTATTTTTCCTTCTTTTTTTTTTTCAAGGTTGGCGAGGGTCGCCGGTGACCCTCGCCGGAGGCCTCACCCTCGGCCAAACCAGCCAAACATGTCGTGAGTGATTTTTTGACCAACTAGTGTTTTGGGAATTTGATACCTCGTATGGAAAGACTTTCAAACTTCTAACACATCAATGAGGCTACGATAACAGGCTCATACACATACGGGCGAACTGAAAAGCAATGACTCAAATTTGAACATTTGAGGGTATGAATATTTTATGATAACATCAAGAATGCGCACTTGTACCAACCGTCCTTCCTACTCTTTTGTGTATTAAAAAGGGAAAATCGCAACTCATCGTGGGTTGGGCGGCGAGGCCAAGTCGGACCACTCCCAATCCTCGAG